TCTTAAAGTGATATGTATCATCCCAGAACATACACTACAATATGAAGGAAATAATTACTATTGGACATGTAGTCTAATCAGACCTCAGCTGATTTTTGGCATACATGCAGTACCGGTATTAATAATAGTTCTGTGCAGGTATATTTGATAAACATCAGTAAGGCATTTTACCCTTTGATAGTCAGTCGATTCCTGTGTCTCATCCAGGATTCTCTCCACATCTTCTATTGACATGATCTGTCATAATGTGACATTATACACTCATGTTTATAAATCTTAAGGTGGTATTAAAATCTTTTGAAAATGCATAGTACAGGAAAAACAATGGAGAGCACTACCTCATGCATGCTCTTCAGACAGTCGTTGCCAACTTTAAGTCCCTCAATGACTTTCATTTCAATTTGCATGAACTCAATGTCTTGAACCTGTTGACAAACAATTACATTGTAGAAATAGTTACATGAAATATAAATAAACAAAACAACAAATCAAATAGTATTTGTCCCTTTTATTTTCTCATAAAATAGTGATTAAAGAGAGACTGAGTTAAAAACAAACACTTTACGTTACACTATTTTTTGGTTTGGATTAGCATGAAATATAGTAACAAATCACAAGTAATCACAAAACAGTATTGTATCACAAATGACTCTTCAAATGAATTTAAGGCCACAATGGACTTCTCAACTTTGGACCAATTTGCATTTAAGCAATCATATTATTAACAGTTATTTTGGAAACTGTTAAATACTGCAGAATTGAACTGGTCCACTCTCCCTTGGCACTGAATATCAAAGCCTGGTGGACTGATGTTATGAAACTTACCATGTGCTCGAGGTTTGAAATCTGATTTTCAGTCTTTTCTAGTAACTGATCCTGATACCGTTTTTTCTTAAGAAGCAACAGCGCTTTTCTGCAATAACAAATGCAAACACAAAGCATCATATAGCAAAGAATATCTTTTGTTTACAGTACGAATACAGTGTGTACCGCTGCATGCCGAATAAAGTAAATTGAATTGCAAAAGAGAAAACGGACTCTGTGCAGGAGTCATTAACTTGGGAAATTTTAAGTAGCATTATCCATATTTAAGTAAACCATACATTTGTTTACATTGTTGCCAGTATTCACAGTAGTGTAACTACATGCTGGTAGATATTGTGTAAGATCGAGACTTGTGCTTACTCCTTCTTGCCATCTTGTAGCAACTGCTTTGCTAGACGTCGCTCTTTCTCCAGCTGCAAGGTGATTCTCTTTTGGTACTGCTTCAGCTTGTCTCTCTGCTGCTTCAGTTGCTGGAAAAAATCCCCAAAGAGAAAATTAAAAAAACAACAACAACAACAACAACAACAATATAATATACACATTCCTTGCCATTTTATTGGGTACACCTTCCTAGCCATGAGTTAGATAAACATGTTGGTTCATACTGACATGACAGCATCACACAGTTGCAGCAGATCTGCACCACCCGTTACACCAAATCACAGTGGTGACTGTGAAGGCCATTTGAGTACAGTGGCTTCATTGCCACGATTAAACAAACAGTTTGGGTTGATCTGAGCTTTTGACATGGCACATTATTCTGCTGGAACTAGCCATGAGAACAAGGATAGACTGTGCTTAGAGTCATGGACATAGTCAGCTACAATACTCAGGGAGGATGCAGCATTTAAATGTTGCCCATTTGGTAAAAGATGGGCAGAGTGGATCAATGCTTTCATGTCGTTTACAAATTCTGACCCTACTATCTCAGTGTCTATGGTGCAATTTTGGTGAGCTCATGTGAACTGTAACCTAATTTTCCTGTTCTTAGCTGCTGTACCTCACCTGCTTCAAGGTTTGCGATGTTGTTTGAAACTTGCAGAAGATATGTTTTTCTGCATACCTTGGTGGTAATGAGTAGTAGTTACTGTTATCTTCTCATCAGCTCAAAGGAGTCTGCTTATTTGCTTATGAACTCTGTCATCATCAGGTCATTTTGAGAGAACTGGCTTTAGGAATGTAACAGCAGATCTGCCTCCATAGAAGACGATCTCTTGCATCCTCTTCCGCTCTCCTTCCATATATCCATAATTGTGGTCTTTCTCTCCGCCTCCTGCCTGACAGCTTCATCTTTTACATCCTTTGCTACCATGTAATTGGCTGATTAGATATTAGATATTTGCCTTAAGCAGCAGTTAAACAGGAGTACACAATATTTTTTATCTACTAAAAAAGTAACGAAGAAATAGACACAAAAACACAAGAAAGAGGTCCATAAACTGATGTCGCATATTATAAATAAATGTACTCATTCAGTAGAAATGTTATTAAACCAATACGACTATTCTGTGCTAAACGGAGGAGGGGAATACAGTTCTCATGAGATACGAGTCGCAGAGAAACCCAACAGTAAGCACGTCGGGTGATATTAATTCATCTCGCCGTGTGACCACAGCACAAGACCGTGCAACCGCTAACACTAGCCCGATGCTATAACCGCTATCAGCTCACCAAAATGGCTTTGTCCTGCTCCGTTACACGAGAAGGTCGACTCTTTCTCCCAAAGACATTTCCCATTATTCAGCCACATCCCCGCCACATTCTCCCGTATCAACACAAAAAATATCACTTTTTGCTAAACATTTTGTACGATAGTAAATAGCCTAAAATGGCTAACAGGCTAACTGACTACACCATGCCCTCAGTTCTTTTTGTTTTCCGCGTTTCCTACGGCAAGCAAGGCAGGACGTATAATCCGAAGCGTTACATGACTTGATTATTAGAGCTCGTTGTTCTGATATTCATTCCTGTTATATTGTGATATGGTACGGGCGGTAACAGCTGCGCCTATTACTAGGATAAAATGGATTCAATTGCAGATTTTGCACATGTGCACGTTAAACACTGTCGCCGGACTGTTGGTACCTTGGAGAGCCTCCGCCTCTCCGGGGGTTCCAGGATCAGCACCATGGAGAGCAATCAAAAAACGTTTCCTCTAAAAATGGCAGATTTTGCTCAACATAAAGGCAGGAAATTAACAGACAGCTCTTGTATTATTTCACATTAGTAGGGTTTAGCAATGTGATAAGAGGACAGCATTCTAAATGACTCAATATTGTGCAAAAGTCTTGGAAACACAGACAACTCTTATTTCTTTTTAGTTTACTTCCAAGGAGCCAGACTAAGTTTTTCATTAGAGTTCGCTGTTGTGTCTACACATAAGAGACATTTCGTGAAGTGCACATTTTAAACTGTACCTTTAGATACTTTTGTTACACCAGCATGTTGCGAAAAACATTTAGTTCCCATTTCTTTAGTTGAATCTACAAAAAATATCAAAGATAAAACGGTTAAACAGCCATAAAACTGTATTCTTGCACCAAAATGATTCTCAGCTATTAGACAAAAAATGTGACATACCAAGGTGTATATTTATTGTGTCAGGTTATGCCAGATTACATGAGAACTAGGCTGAAAATCATTGGCAACAGGCCTCATGGAGTGATGAACCCAAATGTGAAATTTTGGTCAATATGTATGAAGAAGGTCAGGCAAGTGGTGCAATAGTTAGCATCCATCTGTCAAACATAGAGGCTCTATCATGATCCAGGGCTACATTTCAGCCAGTGTTGGTTGTTGGGGATCTTGTCAAATGTTGATATTGTTGGAATTATGAATATAGATAAGTACCGTCAGATTTTGATCCAACATGCAATACTATCTGGAAAGGATCTGGTTGCCTGCAGCTTTATTTTTCAGCATGAAAATGATCCCAAACACAGCAAACACATACCTGGATAGAAAACACACAATGGAACAGTATCAGTCATGCCCTGGGCTCCCCAGTGCCCGGACCTTAACATCACTGAAGCAGTGTGAGATCAGTTTGACAGAGAACAGAACAAAACGCAGCCATAATACAAAGACATGATCTGAAGACTACTTAAAGAAATAACAAGAAAGCTTACCTAAAAGAGTTAAGGCTGTGCTGAAGAATAAAGGTGGTCATAGCAAATATTGACTTTTAAAGTTGTTAGCACTGTACAAACTATTTTTATTTATTTTTTCACTAATTACTACTTTATTTGTGTTTTGTGGTAGGTTGAGTTTAATGTCTTGGTTGTTGTAACATAGACATCCCCGAATGTAATTTTCTTACTCATAACACTACCCTTTTTCTGTGATTCATAAATGATATGCAGAATAAAGTGTGCTGGGCTGAGGGACATGCTTTGGAAAATAACTGTACTTCAAAAAGACATAGTTTATGTATATACCATCAACTATAGGTGAAGAATAGTATTTTAATAGATAGAAAAAAAATCAGTATTGCTTTGACGATGTGAAGGGAACTGTAGGAACAAGATGAAAGGCATTTGGTTCAAGCCAACCTTACCTATTAGAGCTTTGGAAAAACAAGACTTAATCCCTACTATAGCGTAATCCCTGTGATCTGCACTTTTTGTTTTGATCAGCGGCTGCCCAGCCAATTAAGTCAACAGCTTGCAAAGAGTTTATTGGTTTATTTCAGTTCAACTTATAGCACTACATAGACTTACAGGTGCACTGCAGGACACAGCAGCCTCTCTGATCAAAGTGTTACAGAAAACATTTCTGACCACACTTTTCACCAACACTGACTACAGCCAGAAATGTATCAGGTTAGGGATCTCTGATGCAGTTTATTCTATTCCCAAGGTGCATAGAGAAGAATAAGATTCTGAAGTGGTCAAAGTCTTGTAGCATAAAGAACAATTTTATTATATTGAAGTGAAACAGGTGAATACTTCAAGGACACATGTTCGCAGTTGTGTGTTGTGCATTTTTTGATTTTTGAGAAGTCTGCTCTTTTGAAGAGCTGACAGAGAACTGTGCCTCTAAGACTCCCATTGCCCCGTGCTATATCTCCAGGTACAGGTTATCACACCAAATCCCAGCCACACTAATGAAATTACTGCAGCAGGTCTTTCTAAGACATCAGTGGAGAGCTAATAAGTAAACAATGGATCAACAAGTCTGAATATAGCATTTAATCATGAGACTTTCTGTATACATTAGCAAACATGAAAAAAAACAGACATAACACAGATTTATTTAATAAAGTAGAGAATGTTCCTTGCATATTCAGTTTATTCTTTAAAAGCTAACTAGTAGCATTGAGTTCTGCATTCCAAAGTTTCTTTATAATTATTTGTATGGCCAATTTTGCTTTAATAGTGATAACAGTCAGTTATTATTTTATCATCTATGCCCACCTGACTTTTTGTTAAAGGCATCTTTGGCTAATGAAAACAAAACTATAATACTTGGTATTTGTTTTATTAACTCATTCATATTTTCCCATATCCTTTCAAACTGCACCCTTGGAAATTACAAAAAGGACAAAAAAGAAAAGATATTGCTGCCAAACAGAAGGGATAAAGCAAAAAAAAATAATAATAATAATAAAAAAAAAATATCAAATGCCATGATGGAAGTCAGCCACTCACTTTACATCAAAATACTGACCGATGATTATATCCATGCACACCACCAGAATACTGAAAAGAGTTCAAAGACTGTGGATTTTGGTTCATAGAAAAGCTTACATTTGAGCAACAGTATTTCCATAAACCATGATAACGACAACAACAACAGCCTTCAGATGAAACTGAACAGTCCTCTATATTAAAAACTTTCCGTGCTTTCCAGGGACTGCATTAGTGTGTCAGTGAGGCAACTACCTCATATTGCCTGCTTTAATGTCTCAGATTGGGACGGCAGGCTGTCACTCCTGCAAACAGAGTTATACCGTGACGACAGCCTTGTCGGTTGAAGCTTAGCATCTCAGATGAAGCACTGAAAGGGATTCAGTAGACAGCAGGCTACACCTGAAAATCAGTCCCAAAGTGTCTAATCTGGGCATCAGTCATGGATAGATAGGTAGCTCTCATGCTGGGTGAATACTGCCAGAGAAATACATGAGAAAAAAATCAGTTTAGAACATATGCACTTTAAAAAAGCACCTTCGATTAGCATATGACATATTAATATGTTATTAACTGATCTAAGCTTGCAGAACACCTGTTTTAATTATAAGCTAGTCTTTAATCAAGAGTTTGTGGAATCAGGGGATGGTACTATAATGATGCGAGAGGTTAAAAAGCAGGAGGGCATAACAGGTTAGAATAAGTTACACTCACATGCAACACTCTGTGGGTTAAACAGTGCCAGGAAGTCAAAGCTGAGGTACTATGGAGCTTTAAAAGGGTCCCTGAGCTTTGAGATACAAGTTATAAACATTTTGCATAGCAACCATCATTAGAAAGGTTTGCAGGGGGAAAACATACAAAAATCAAGCAAATTAAGTCAGACAAGAGTGAAACAATAAGTCAAAGAATGGACATTTTAAAAAGGTGGGTAGAAAACATTGGTTAATATTCAATATTTAGATGCCTTATTGAGAAACTGATTATATAAAAGATAAGAAAATCACAGAAAAGTCACAGAAAATTAAATAAATTAAATAACAACAGAAAAACAAACGTACTGCAAATGTGTTTTCCAAAATAGCAAACATTTAAGTAACAGGAACAAATAACACATCTTGATGCATGCTGAAAATGTGATTTATAGAGGAAAGAATAGGTTTGAGCAGAGTCCACGTTCACGCTCTCACACCTCAAACGGTGTTTCAAGTCTTTGGCACACTGTGAAAGCTGTTGAAGCACTGAGTCAGCCACACAAGCAGAAAACTTAATATAAAAGAAAATCAACCAACAGAGACTTTAACTGTGGATTTACAAGTGTTCTATCTATTATTTATCATTTAGCCCCAGCATTGGATGCACATCATGCACTTCTAGACTATGAGGCTCCTTTAAAAATAGATACATGATGTGAGATTGAGCTGGCAGTATTGCTTGTTTCATCTTTAGATCTCTAATCTGACCTAAACTATTCCTTTTTGAGAACCAGAAATACAGTCCAGTGAAAACAGCCAAATGTAAAAAGGATATATGACTGTAGTTACAGATTAGTAATGCACTAAAAATGAACACACTTCAGTCAACAGCCAGTAGATGTCAGTCTTCCATCATTTACAGAGCAACATAACTCTCTTCACTAAATGTTGATAGTGTGAGGTTGTGTGCGGTGTATCAACATTGCTACATTTCTGGCACATGCTTCTTGTTAGTACTGTAGTGGGGCTGAGGCCAACTATGCCATCACTGCCATTAAACTAGGGACACTAGAGCCCCGTAGGGCCAACGCACCGAGGGAGGCGGGGATCCTCTCCCTATCAGTGGTACATTCTCATACCGAGGGGTTCCTCCAAACAGCATGGACTGATTCCTGTGAAACAAGGACAAAGAAATTAGACAGAGGTGAAACTCATGCATTAATAAAACAAGAATAAATAAGCAGCGTCATCATTTGCTATTAAACTTACATGTATTCAGGGGGTGACATTACACTAGAAGTTGACTGAGGAGGTGGATGAAGGCTGGCCTGGCTGCCAAGGCTTGTGGTATAGCTACAGAAACTGTGCGTGTTGGACCTTCGGGGGTTATAGGATATCCGACGAGCTTGGGGGTTGAATGGATCCTCCTCATCTATGTCATCGTACTCCTTTTCCCTGCATGAAAGTGTACACCCGTGCACAGAGACAGAAAGAGAGAGTGCATGCGTTAACACTTTGCAGAAGTGCACTGTAGGCATTACTAATGGGGTAACGGGGTCGCTCAGCACTGACCTGCTGCCCATTAGTGTCCACACTCGGAAAATTACACACAGCATGGCAGAGAGTGCGCAGGCAGCCAGAAGAGAAAACAAAGAGAGGTAGAGGAGCCCTTCCACCCCATCATAGCACACACCCATGAGGGTATCAAGATAGTCCTAGAAGGATATATACATGCACACAGTCAATACGGTGAGTCACTAGTGGACATACTGTATTACTTTTGACAAATGACACCTGTGCAAATAATATTAAATTCCTTAAAAAGGCCAGATTATGTCTATGTTTAGACCATGAACAATGTTACAACTGAATCTGAAATTTAACCACCTCTCTGAGGAGGGCAGTAGGGCTGCAGGATTTCACAGCAGAGGTACCAAAAGGCAGAACTGAGACACGCAGACAAGCTCATGTTACTCTGATGATATGCATTACACAGATGCATTCTCATTTCGCATTGCTTGTTATATTTGACTAACAAGCTCTGAGAAACAGTCTTTGAATTTGTCTGGCATGTGTACTCAGTTACTGCATAAGCCTATATTTGCGGATCCTCATTACCGATGTTCATTACACATAACTATGGAATGTTTGTAGCCCTCCATTAACCATCATTTTGAGTTATTCCCTAATCTGAACCTGATCTAACAATAAGGCAGCCCTAATATCTTAGCTTATCTTTATGGATTTGTTTAATCTCTGGTAGGAAGGATTTAATAGAATTACCAGAGATCCAAAAACCTGCTTCTTGGGTTCCCATTACCACAGCAGACTCGTATCACAGCAGATGAGATGCTATTTTCATTAAATGATAAAACTCTGACAAAATGAAACCTGCAAAAGCCATTTCATTCCTTTTTCAGTCTGGAAAAACTGGAGGCGGCAAATAGTCGGTCTGTTACATACGTGGTGACTGACAATTTGAGTGGTGTATATAAATGTCAGCTTATGTGAAGTACATAGAGATAACGTTTGGAAAAATCTGTCAAGCTGGCCCTCTGAGTGGCTTTGAGCTACGCTACAAAGGAGTCCCATTAAAAAGTGTCCTGGTCAGAATCTGACCTTACCTTATGTAGCCCACGGCAGTCCAGCAAGGCTGTTAGCTTGTGTAGACTGAACTCTGTTGAGTTTAATAGTCGTTGGATTCCCAAAAGGTCTCTCTGTACAACAAGGTATAAAAGGGGAGAAGATGATACACACATTTCCACAGTCTAGTGTGAAAGTCTGTTAGCCAGCTGCGTACCTCAGCAGTGGGAAAGACCCGCACAGAGAACTGCAGCAAGCCTTGAATCTGGATTTGCATGGTAGTCAGTGAGCGCTGGCAAGTTGTCAAAGACTGGGAAAACATAATCACTCCAGCATCACACACATAGATATCCACCACAAACAATAAGAGGATCTTAATAAGGAGGGTATTTTTTTAAGAGCAGCATGTCAACAAGTAATTTGGTGTTAAGTAAGGCTTTATCATGTGCTTAACAGAGGACACATTTGTTTCCAGACAGATTATCTTTTGCCACCAACCGTCTCGCCCACCACTCTCCCACCTCCCATTAGCACCACCAACCCACAGCACAAACAAAAGAGTAATATTTATACCAACTAGGCCATCAGAGAAAGGATCATCCTTGCCTACTTAACAAGCATCAGTTTAATCCATAAATGGGTACGATGATAACCAAGCATGTAATGCATGTAATAACTACTGGTCATGTATTTATCCTCCACAAAAATCAGTGAATAGATGTCACACAGATGCAGAATCACTCATGCAAAAGAAATCCTCAGACTATACAAATAATACAACACATAAGAAGAAGCACTAAATTCTCTGAAATGTTGCCAGGAAAGTGTGTGTGACAGGGAAATGGATATAACTTGAATCTGGGCATCAGATTCACAAATAAAGCAAAAGAAAACACACAGAGAGCCAAACATGGATTGATGTTTATTAGACGAGGCTATATGTCTAAGTGAGTTCTGAATAGCAGGAGTTAAGTGCCAAGGTTGTGTTATTCAAACTGGTTTTATTGAGACTGTATGACAGCTGTCTTTCTGCAGTTTCTCTTCAGAAAACAATTTATCTGCATTTCAGGCACCAATAATTAGCTTGTTTGGAACATGCAAAGGGTTCTCAATGTTTCTTTGAAAAGGCATACAAACAAAAAATGATGATTTATATCTTTAATCTCAAAAATAAACCAACACAACTTGAGTGCTCTATGAAGAGCGGCTGGCTTAATGCAGGATGTCAGAAAATTGAATAAAAATGTTTCTAGCAGGAGTACCAGGGGGCAAAAACTTTGCACAGGGTATAAGATGCAGATAGTTTTTATACACCTATACAAAAAGAAGCATACTTTTTCAAACTTTAGCATTTTGCATGATTAAATCAGAACTGAGGGCTCACTTTGGCCTCCAAAAAGATATAGATGCTTGGCATCTAATGGTAAATAAATGAATAATAAGAGTCTGCAGTGTGCTAACACAAAGCTAAGATTGGACTTTTAGTCAGTACCTGTTGAAACGGGTTTGGTAGATTCGGACTGCAAAACAAATAATAGTGTGCAACATCTAGAAGGTGAAAGAAATAGAAAGATTAGCATTTTGTTTAAACAGCTATTGACAGAGAGATGTTGTCAGTAGAAATCTGTCTGTGGACATTAATTACCTGCACTTAGAAAATCCTTGGTATGGTTGACAATAAACTTGTCTGGAGACACACAAAAGTCACTTATACCCTGTAGGGAAAAAAAAGGGGAAAAAAAAACAACCTACTATTATATACACCAGGAAGCACATATAAAGTGCAAAAACTGTGTGGTATAGGAACAGACTTTAAACATTATTGACCGTGTAGAGCATGTCACGCTTTGCTGACCATGGGTGAAATCTACTAAATATTTCCACGCGTTTTAATTCTTCCCCAGAGAGCTGCTAATGTGCATGCATAAACAGTTAGGGGTCAAGATCATGCAATTGCTGTACACTTAGTACCCAGAACATAAAATAACCCACACAAAGCTATTATAAAAAAGCAAATATAACAAAAATAACCAGAATGCTTTGTCATATGCATGGATAATTCACAGCTGGGGAAACAAGATAGTCTTTAATTTTATTAAGTTAAAAGAGAACAAAGAATCTGTTATGGTGAAGGATCCAACATCAGTTTTATATCCTTTTTTATTTTATGACATCCCCAATCAAGAAAAGTCTTTCTAGAGCTTCTCAATGTAAATGATAACTCAAAAGACAATAGCCAATCAAAAGTTAAACAGTACAGTATGAAATTACAAATAAAAAGAAGAAAGAAAAACCTAGGTTTACACAAAAATCAGTTCTACTTCCTGTTCTAGCCTTTCTACTTACCCAATTTTACTTTCAGATGTTCAACACACCCTTAACTCAACTGTGATCATGTGACTTTGTTTTCTGCAAAAACCGTACAGCACCATGCGAGGCACCGTTATCTCATTATACTAGCGGGGACATTTTGTTTATGCTAGGACTCATCAAATATGTATAAATTTATGAATATTTTCTAGGACACAACCATCATCTACCTTCCTTTCAAAATGCACTGTGTTTTTGCACATGCAGGTTTTTTTCTCTCTTTTTTTTAAATAATGATGTGCAGGTGCAATATGTTTTCTAGCTTGTTTTGCATGCTGTCCTACATTTCAGCTTCAATCATTCAAGACTGTTCTTTGATAAACAACTGTGACTAGCTTTCCTATAACAAGAGCTAGTCACAGATTGCATTGGGAGTACCTCAACTTAAGACAAAACAGAGTTGGAGGGAGAGCTGCATGCTAGAACAACAAGCGTTAAGCCTGAAAGGTCAGAAGTTTTACTGCAGAGTCCTTTTTCAACTATAATGAGGGGAGCAAAGCAACAGACGCTGTCCAGGATTTTGCACATTTGGCTTTACATCTGCAGAGAAGCTCACCGAGAACCACAGATGTCTGTGAATCGCACACATGTAGTTAATTTCAGGTTAAAATATGCTATCTTCCCCGCTCTGTTTCACCCTCTCTTTTACTGCCTCACTTAAAACAGCTGTCCAGATGTCAGATCCAGCAGGATAATCCACAGATGTTTGGTTTCTCGGCGTGGGGGATGGAGGAATGCTGGAACAAACGGGTTATTATTTTTTTTTTGTACCCCAGACACTGTCCCTAATACGAGCACCATTAAACACACCAAGTCCAGATGCTCTGAACACATGGTGTACAACCAGGAAGAGAGAACAATCTTTCAGAAATAAGGGGAGCCTGAAAGATAAAATGAAACTTTGGATGATCACAAAAGAGATTCTGAAGAAAGCAGAGGTAGCAATTAAAGGAACAAAAGTTCTTGGTTTACAGGAAGGCTAAGGGATGATGGACCTAAAAGACTAAGGATGTGTAATCAGCTTTACTGCCTGGGTGACCTTGGAAAGCGAGCCATTGTAATCTAGACAAACAGACACAGACACTTTTTAAGCTGCTAAGATGTTCATGTATTGTCCAGGTTTACTGGCAGGCACTCGTTTGGGGTTTTATTTAGAACCCCAACAGTCTAATTTCAATATTTCTAATCAAAGTGTACTTCAGAAGTAGCAGAAGTATAGTTTTCTTACCACAGCTGTAGCAGTGTCAACTCCCAGTGAGGCCCAGCTCAGAATCAGAGACAGTATAACAAAACCAATGATCCTAGTGGAAAATAGCACATGGGAGTGAGGGTGACAGATTAAGCGATATAGGGAGAATCACATAAATCACAGAATCAGATGAATCAGTTTTCCTTTGTGCCACTGATATTCAGCCCCATGTTTTTACCCTGTTAATTTAATTAAATCTTTCCAGTTTCTCTGCTTCTGTTTTGGGACTTGTTCTCCTTCTGCCTGGAGACAGAGGCTCAGCTCACATGGTGCATTGTAAGTGATACAAATATAAATGAACTCGTAATTCTTTTCATTCTTATCTTGATATCCCTATATTTTTTTAAAAAAAATACAAGCTTTAGCAAAAAGAAGATTAAAAAAAGAAAACGAAGTAATATGAAATTTAATAACTGCTCAATAAAACACTTAATGCCAAAACAAAGGATAATACCACTTGAGATTTGTTTCTTTGGCCATTCGTGCATTCCTGCTGCATTCAAGCACTTTTATTCCCTGTATTTTCTATCAATCATGTTACATAAGCTGCCAATCACTACAAGGTGTCACAGTCAACCAAAAGCTCCCACAACCTTTGCTTTCCCTGACCCTTCTTTTATCTGATTCCTTTTGTTGAAAAAAAGTGACAAGTTCAACAAAGTCAAGTAAACATTGTGCAAGAGCTCACAAGTACGAGTTTTACAAGAGACCACTGGCATAAGCTTGAAAAAAAAAAAAGAGGCTATGAACATGAAGTAGACGAAACAATAAAAAGGAAGAGGATGCTTCCCCCTCCCCCCGATGAATATTAAAAAAAAAAAAAAAAAGGCAGAAGAGGGCTTTGCTTCTCAACTCACTCCACGGACCTTCTTGAAAGCACCAATAAAGTAGACTGAGAGCACTTAATAATTAGTTAAGGGAGCAGATTCATCCTACTCAGCCGATCAATAGGCATTAGTGAAACCCATCAGAGAGGGATGTGAAGAGCGAGCCTGAGCATCATCTGCTAACACTGACACGCAGGTTGCAATAAATTGGGCAAATGGGAAGGGAAGTCTGAATTGTGGGTATGCTGGTCAGACATCAGTGTTGGTTCAAAATACCTGTGGCAATTCACTAAATCAAATGTTCAACTCTTCTTTCAGAGGTTTGCATTTTACTTCACTTGGTTTAATGTGTGTGTGTGTGTGTGTGTGTGTGTGTGTGTGTGTGTGTGTGTGTGTGTGTGT